TTCCAGTTACAGTTGACCTGGAAGAGTATGTTGAAGGTTAGGCGTGGTCGTCTGATCCCATGTTTAATATAGGATCATTTACTTCATGTGTTATTCTGCTATGTTTTATATGTCTAAGTGGGTTTCAGTTGTTGGAGATGTCCAGTCTGTATGCACTCATTCAGGCCTCCCCCTTTATGACTAAGTTAAGGGGTGGGAGGTTTAGAATGATTTCCATATAGGCTGTCGGTGTACTTCTCAGTGCTCCTGTAATACAAAGGCATGCCAGCCTCTGAACTCCTGAGAGGGCATTGAGAGCTGTTTTATGGTTTACTTTTGGCCACCAAACAACCGCTCCAAGGGCCATCGTGGGTCTTGTTATTACCAAATATCTATTATTTTAACTATTTCTTTTATTTGAAAATCATCAAGACATTACAGAATACAAAAAATATCAGGTTTACAAATTATAACTACGGTAGCGTAGGTGTCTACAGCGCGGCATTCATTTGTCAGCCAATTTTCTGGTAAATGAGACACGGTTTCGGATCCTACGGAAGACCATGTGAAGTTATTTGCATGGTTCTCTATAGAAATTTAATTTCTGTTGATATGACATCCAGATTATTAAAATAAAATCAACATGCGTTACCGTTTTCGATGATGGTGGGTGGGGTTTTCCTCATCTGTAAGTCAAATGGGACCATCAATCATCTTTAAGTCGCCCCGGAGCGCCACGGCAAATAATAGTAATAGCCGTCCTTTTCCCCGCACAAGCTCAGCTTTTAGGGTTAAAATTTACTCGTAAGGGGGTGAATTAGGGAGAGTATTATTATTATAAATAACATCTCCGAACCCCAAAGGTGAAAACGAGATTTGAAAAAAACCTGTCGTAGCTGGGATTCAATCCCAGATATCTTTGGTCTGACACAAATACCCTACCTCTAGACTCTAGACCATTACGACATTGACTGTCGAGATTCCCAGACGGCAGTTTGATGTGCTAATTCGGGCCAAGCGCCGTTTCAGGCTCGTTCTCAAATCTTCAAATACCTCTATACAGCATCGGTGTGTATGAGAAATGCATTGATGTATACTAAGCTCATATCTTCCGTCGTGAGTTAAGTTTTCAATGTACGTTTAGCGCCGTAAACCTGAGTATGAAAAGTGTGAATTTAATACATCGTAGAAAGCAAATCGAAATTCGAATAAGTTGAAAATTCGGAAACAAATCTCAAAAATCCCCCTCTGAATTATTAAGACCCGTAAACAAATACCTGGAGATTTGAAAAAAGCCTGTCGTCGGTGGGATTCGAACCCAGATATCTTTGTTCTGTACACAAATGCTCTACCTCTAGACCAGTGCTCCGCAACCGGTGTGCCGCGGCACACTGGTGTGCCGTAAGCCGACTTGAGGTGTGCCGCTCTTGCAGACAATACGAATCAGATTCGTATTGTAGCGAGACCCGCGAAAAATAAAGCAATCTGACAACAGCGCCGATGGTAAACGTCTATCCGTCTATCGGCGCGGCGCGGCGGCTTGATTCTCGAAGGCGACTAAACTAGAAAGATCCGTGCCGTTCGAGGCGCGACTCGATGTTTTCCTGAACATCGCCACTGCCTATATAAGCGCGCCTGTCGTCGCTCAGAGACTCAGAGAGAGTCGAATAGTCAAGTGAATCAGATAAATACGCGGGCAAACAAATAAATCGTAGAGTGAAATAAATAGTGAATTGCTATATAAATAAATTCTTGTGCCTTATAAATAAGTGAACTGGACTAAGTTTTGTTGCAGTATCTACTTTTATAAATAACTATAGTGCTTCAAATATGGATAAATTTTTGCTGAAATCACGAGCAGATGACGAAGAACCTAGCACAAGCTCCAGCATAAGTGCTGCAAAAAGAGCAAAAAAGGTGCTGAAAAGGAAGTACAATCAAGACTACCTTCGATATGGTTTCACTTGGTGTGGCGACGAAGCGGCTCCAAAGCCTGAATGCGTCATTTGCGGTGAACAGTTGTCAAATGAAGCAATGGTACCCAGCAAACTAAACCGTCATTTGATCACAAATCATCCCAGTTGCGTCAAAAAAGACATTCAATTTTTCCAACGGCGCTTGGATCAAAATAAGAAACAAAAGCAGTTTATGAAATCGGCGGTTACGGTTTCTGAAAAGGCATTAGAAGCAAGCTACCTTGTTGCAAAATTAATTGCACAACAAAAAAAACCGCACACTATCGGTGAAACGCTTATTAAACCAGCATGCATGGAAATTGTTAGACTTATGCTTGGGCCAAACGAAGTTAAGGACGTGAGTAAAGTTTCTTTGTCGGCCGATACTGTTAAAAGACGTATCCAAGATATGTCAAGTGATATTTTGGGAACACTAATTAAAAAAATCATTTCGGCTGGAATTTTTGCGCTTCAAATCGACGAATCAACCGATATTAAAAATAAAGCACAACTGATGGCTATTGTACGTTTCGTTGACGAGGACTCTATTAAAGAACATTATTTATTTTGTAAGGAGGTTCCAGAGAGAACTACCGGTGAACAAATTTTCCAAGTAACTGATAATTTTTTTAAAATACATAATATTCAGTGGACCAATTGCGTTGCTATTTGTACAGATGGTGCTGCTGCAATGATGGGCAGTAAGAAAGGTTTTGTATCTTGTGTAAAACAAAAAAATCCGTCAATACAAATTACACATTGCTGCATACATCGAGAAGCATTGATGGTCAAAAATTTGCCCGAACAGCTTTCGATCACAATGAATGAATGTATTAAGATCATAAACATAATTAAATCGAGAGCCTTAAATTCGCGAATCTTTGGAATACTCTGTGAAGAAATGGGAAGCGAACATGAATCCTTACTGTTTTATACAGAAGTTCGTTGGTTATCCCGGGGAAAAGTTTTAGCTCGACTGTTTGAACTTCGCTACGAAGTGCGTGAGTTTCTTTCAAGTCAAGATATGTACGATCTATGCCAGCACCTTCATGATGAATACTGGATAGCCAAACTTGCATACATGGCGGATATATTCGAACATCTGAATGAACTTAATAAAAAAATGCAAGGACGGAATGAAAATATATTGACGTGCTCCGATAAATTACAAGGGTTCAAAAAGAAACTTGAACTTTGGCAGGAACAGTTGCAAAAAGGATGTCTAGAAATGTATCACAGGACCAACCACAGTACGATGGAAAACAAGCAGTTGATTGTGGATTTGGCCCAACAACATTTAAGTATGCTTCAACAAAAATTTGAATACTATTTCCATTCTATCAACACGGAACAATACAATTGGATTCGAAATCCTTTCGCAACCAATGCAATAAGTTCCACGGAAGCACTGCCATTGCAAACTCGAGAGGAGTTCACATAATTAAGTAATGATATGACCCTAAAACTTAAATTCGACGAAGTTCCGTTAGATGTTTTCTGGATTTCCATCAAGACAGAATATCCACGCATCACCGACAAGGCCATCTTCACACTACTTCCGTTTTCCACAACATATTTATGTGAGCAAAGTTTTTCAACGCTTGTATTAATTAAAAATGATAAACGGTCATGCTTAAAAGATCTTGACCAAGAAATGAGAGTTGCGCTGTCTAAAATTGAGCCGAATATAAAACTTTTGTGTTCAACGAAGCAAGCGCAGGTATCACATTAATCAGTCATCATCATGTCAAAATATTTATTACTATTGACGTGTCAACAGAAGTAAATTTAGTATACCTACCTGTCCTACCTAGTATTTAGTATAGTTCTCATGTATGTACCTATTTGTATTTTTCATTCTATCTGAATAATAAAAAAAAATATGTATTATGTCCTGAGTGAAAATTTTGATGCCCCAAATCTGAAAGGGGCTTCTTCACATTTTAAAACAATAAAAAAAACTAAGGTAGTTTGGACATCCATAAATAATTAGTATACATGGAGTGAACTGACCCCCGACCTAGCTACGCCACTGCTATAAATATATTTTAGATTTTGGTGTGCCACGAAATTCTAGGGAGCAGTTTGGTGTGCCTCAGATGAGGAAAGGTTGCGGAGCACTGCTCTAGACCATCACGACATTGATTGTCGAGATTCCTAGATGGCAGTTTGATGTGCTAATTCGGGCCAAGCGCCATTTCGGGCTCGTTCTAAAATCTTCAAATACCTCTATACAGCAAGGGTGTATAAGATATGCAATCACTTCAAAATAACGGTATACAATGCCATTGATTAGACAGAGGTAGAACAGGTGCGCACCAGTAGGCAGCCGATTCACGAGAGTATCTTATTATTTTCTCACGTGTAAATATAATTAAGCGTCTTATCTTTATTTCGAAGGATTCATGGGTTAACATATTATATAACTACATAAAATAACTATTTCAGTAAAAACACTATTCATTAATCCAAAAGTAACTGTTAAAGACGATTCGTGTTGTTTAAATGATTTTGAGTTAAAACTGTTTGGACACAGTAACAGTAAACAGGATTTATCCATTGTCGAAAAAATTCTTTAGGAATTAAAATAACTGTACAATGGCAAAAATGGCTAATGAATAACGACAATTAAATGTAAAGACTTTAATAGTAGGTACGCAGGCGCTCCTCTCGCTTGACATTTACGGTATGATAATCGATTTCATTTACTAGCAGGGTATCCATTTTCCTTTCACCCCTTCTCTATTTCTTTGGCTCCAAATAAGCGTAGTGCTGCAAAAAGTAAAGCGGTGCCTTATTCATATCGTACGCCACTGGAAAACGCGAATGAACTGGTTTTTTTACAGTTACTGTCAAATTTATTGAAATAATATTAAGGTGGACAATAATAATTTTTCAATTTTTCCATATTTAATTTACTGATACTATTTGGATTTCATAAGCGCCACTCGTTTTTTTTACATTTAACAAGTTTACCCCAATTTTCAAGTTGACAACTGATGTTCTAAGCTATCAAATACGACCAAAAGATATTACTTATTACATAATACATTTTCTTCTTTCCAGGTAAATCACATTACTTTCCAAATCTAGAGGATCAGGCTGGTCCTGTCCTCTTAGAAGAACCTCCTAGTCACCTAGTCGATAGTACCTTAGGAACACAACCCATGAGCTCGCCATCAAGGTCCTCGCCGCATTCGCAGGGTTCCGAAGGCGGTGAAAGGTTTTCCAGAAAAGTTTTCGTAGGAGGACTTCCTCCGGACATTGATGAAGATGAGATTACAGTTAGTTTCAGGAGATTCGGTCCTTTGGTAGTTGATTGGCCCCATAAGGCCGAAAGCAAATCGTATTTCCCACCAAAGGGCTACGCTTTTTTATTATTTCAGGTAAGAAATAGCAATGTGTTTTCTAAAATTCATTAAAACAAATCATTTGACGATTTGGCAATCGTATATTTAAGGATGAAAGATTATCTATTTTCTCAAATAATATACAAAGTTAAGTACGCTTACCAACTCCAATAGCTGGGGTACATGTCTCAACCCTTGACCAAACGTTGAAACCGAGATTCTAAATACATAAAACGGCCAAGTGCGAGTCGGACTTGGGCGCACCATCATACAAGATTTAATACTATGTAGGTACTTTTGAAATACTTTATTAACATCGATCAAAAAAGCAACAAAACACGTTACTACTAGGAGAGCCACTTTATTTTTTAATTTATTTGTTGTTATAGCGGCAACAAACATACACATTCTGTGAAAATTTCAAAAGTCTACCTATTACGGATCATGAGATACAGCCCGCTGACAGACGGACGGACAGCCGAGACTTAGAAATAGAGTCCCGTTGGTTACCCTTCGGGTACCGAACCCTAAAAAAGAGTTAACTTTCACGATGAAGATCCGCAGAGCCTACAGTCGAAGTCTCCGAAATCTGGAGCCGCTACTGGGAATCTTCTACAAGGAGGGTCTCCTACAAAGAGAATCCTACCCTGTAGAAAAAGCCCTGTGTGTTTCCTCGAGATTACCTTTATAACATTTTAATTTTATTGCTATAAGACTAATGTTTAATAACAAGGTTTTGTGTACAGGATGTTATTTAAATAATTAATTTAGATGTGTTACGATAAATTTGGAAAAACATGAATTTATATAAAGTGTATCCATGATGAATTAGGACTAAGGATCAAAATCAATACCACAAAAATAATTTTTCAAATTACATGTCGCTACTAGTTTCGGCCTATATGGCGATCTTCAGCCTTACAATACAAAATGACCCGTGCTACCTGGGTAAGGAAGCATTTTAGCCACTAATTTTGGCGAATTTTAAAAAATCATTAACAAGAAATTAAGAGTTCAAATTTCGGGATTATATTAAGAATAGTGCTGTTGAGGAATGCATTTATTTTCATTATAATATTTCAAAATTTAAAGTTCTTTGATTTTTTTTTTGTCTGAAACTGAAAAATTTAAAACTTTTATCTTTAGGATGTAAAATCTTCAACTTTAATACCTATCTATCTATCTTAACTTCAATAAAATGTTTTCTGACTTTTGTTTAAATTACCCAACTGACAATTCTAAAATTCTCTCTCAATCTTTCCAAAATATATCTGACAATTCTATTAATTTTCAAAATCCCACTACTATCGGCATCACAGCCCTAAGTCAATTCCGAATAACTTATCGACGCCAATGATACAGGACAGAAAAGATAATAATATGTCAAATGACAGAATCATGGCGACATGTTTTTTAAATATATTACTGTTTTTTTTTTTTGAGTATTCTCTAGCTGTATATCTGCCCCTACCTTTATTTATAGAAGATAAGTGATACTCTCGTTTTTTGTTTGTTACTTACTGAATTACTATTACTAATTATTATGTTTCTTTTTTTCTAAACTTGACTCACTAGAAGTATTTAAAACAAATAAAGTACTCATACTCGTTACTCGATTTTTCCAACAGTACTTTCTAAAATTTGCGAAAGTATTCATTTGCTTTGAGTACTCATACTCAGTACTTGGTAAAGCTACTCATTGTGAAATACTCATGAGTACTTTAATACAGTTCTCTGTCCAGCTCTGTTCACAGGATAAATAAACCAAATATGTTTAAATGGACAGGCTTAAGGTACAAATGGGCCAAATATTATTGCATGGAAAGGCTTAAGGAGAAAAATGCCCAAATATTTTTATAAGGGCACGCCTAATGGGTAAAGGAGCCAATTATTTTTACATGGACAGGCTTAAGAGGTAAAGGGCCCAAATATTTTTTCAAATAACTTACAAATCCTAATCAAAAGACGACATGAAATGGTTCTTAAAAACCGACGATAATAAGGTGGAAATCATCTATGTGGTTTAATCAAAGTAAGGCCAATGCTTCACAAATTTGAAAATTCAACGTCTCAATACTTTCAATCGGCTTTTGGTCTTTTGTTCAAAATCAAATCGTTTCTCATTTCTTTTATGCTATGAGTTTGTTCGCCGTCTCGATGAGGTGGGAACCATCAATTTAGGGTCGAATTTTTAAGAATTTTCAGAAACTTTCCATTCAAGTGTTTAAAAATTAAAATAACCAAATGCATCTTGCCTAGTACTATCATATTAATTTGGATAAACTAGTCGCGACATTTAATTTGATTGAATATTTTTGTGGTATTGATTTTGAGTTTTATTCCTAATTAATCATATATTTAATTGAAATAAAAATTCTTGGGGGAGAAATTTAAATCCACATATTTTTTCACTACGTGGTTTCAATCGACTTAGGTCTGAGCCCCACTCGAAGACCAAATCTAAATTTAACCTAAGACCGTCTAAGCGGTTAGCATATGCATAATACAGTGTTTGCAAGAATTGAAGGATTTCCTTTAATATGAAAGGTTTTAATCGAAAATTTTAATTATTGTAGGAAAGGATTTTATTCATATTTAAAGGATTTTGAGGCAAAATTGTATATTTAGCAAATATTCCAATAAATTTACTATGGTATCTACATGCTGCGGTTCAAATAGATCATTACTCTTATCTTTCATATAGAAGATATAGTAGTTCGCCCACTTATTGAAATATCTACCCAATAATATTCACCTTAAAAGACATAACTTAAGTTTTCGACGTGGCTGTCATCTAATGAATACTTAAAAGCAAATGAAATTACTTGAAAAGAAAAGGGAGGCGTGCTCGAAGTAACAAAACAGCAGAAATATCGAGCCTAAGTAATCAAAAATAATATTGTTCTGATACCAGTTACAAGTAGATACTACATTAATATGTACATTAATTATTTAGTAGTAATTACTTTGATAATATTTTTTAAATAACTTTAAAAAATCACCTGACAATTTATGTGTAAGCTTGACTAATAATAGTTCTTTTAATCGAAATATACACATATATTTGGGAACAGCTTATGCAAATTTGCATACTATACTAATAAAAACACTTCCAATCTGATAAATAAATTCAAGCTCATTAAATTTATTAAATATTTCATTTTCTTAAACGTCTACTTTCTTAATGTAAATAAGTTTTAGGTCCAAAACTGATCCTTTTCCTTACTCCAAACTATTGTTTGTTTATAAATGTTGGAATTCCCTGTATATACATATAAGTTCATGTCATGTTATGTTGTGAATATTTTTTGTTTTGGAGTTGTCAGTTTACGTTAGCTAAATAAAGATTCCCTTGCAAGAATAACCGAGAATTATTAATCATTTATTAATGATTTTATAAGCAATTATTAAGTAGTTACTCTTAGAATACGTCTCTACTCGTACGCAATTTGTTGTTTACTATTATAGGTGCCTACTTTATTGCAGCTTATCTCATTTTATAAGGTGATTTTATTTTCTATAAAAGTCCAACTTGAGTATACACCTTTTACTCAAATATTCATCTCTAGTGCATACTTTACCAGTTTTTATGAAGTTACACAGTTCTTATTTTATATTTTACCCTAAATTTTACTGGGCTCTTTATAATTCTGCTTTGCCGCTATCAGGGTGTTTTCCTAACTTACGGATACCGGGCTTCCTCAAATTTTGACTTTAGTGGTATTTATTGATCGTCACGGGCAGCAGAGGGGCATTTAAGATATTTGGAACAGTTCGTGATTAATTTTTAATCAAGGACGTTAACCTTTCGACTCATATTTTGACTCCATTAAGTAGCCTATAGTTTTTGGATATGTAGGAATTTGTCATACAGTGTGTGTCATAAAGATGGATCCATATGGATTGGGAAGACTTGTTCGGAGGGCAATACTTAAAAAAAATTGGTATGGAATTGTCTTCTCGTCTTTTTTAAGCTTTTTCAATAAATGCATAATTGGAAGTTACGGGGGTGTATCAAAAAATGTTAAAAAGTAATTTTTAAATCGGAATATCGCGTTCATAATCAGTATGTTGACGTGATGTCATTAGAAACAAGTTTTTTTAATAACTTTTATGGTTAAGACTATGTTAAATAATACCTAATGTTCATAGCTACAGAGTGATTCATGCTTTTAGAATAATTCTACGTAAAAACAAACTAGATTTTTACGAGAAAAAAAAACCTCCGCCGTACTTTCCAGACAATCCAAGTAACAATTTATTTAGGTTTTAAAGTTACTTTAAGATAAACTAAAAGTTCTTAAATACGACCTATTCTTATGCAAAGAATTTAATAAACTATTTAAATTAATATTTATAAAAAAATATTTGCTCTTAATGTCCTATTGACCTTATACTGGTTTTATAATGCTCTTGACATTGACTATTTTAAAACTAATTTGCTATTTTAATGGATTAAATAGCAAGTTGGTTTTAAAACAATTAATTTTGGAACAAATAGTTTTTAATGTTGTTTTATAGAGTATTCTTGATGTATTTATTAAAACCTATTAGGAAAACTATTTATTAAGAATATTTGAAAGATTAAAGGTTTTAAATTAGTCAATTTAGTCAAAAGAAATGCCTTTTGGATTTATGACGACTTTATTAAAACTAAAACGTTACCTTCTCAATCAACTAATTTACTGAACCAGTGCAATCCGCGTACTAAACTGCCAACATTTCTGAGGTTAGGATTTCATTCGTGCGCAAGACCATTTTAAATCAATAAAGCCAGGAGTTTGAACATATTAAAGTTTAAAGCAACTTGATTTTAAAATGAAATGTAAACAGACGTCCACGAGAGTAATAATTGTACTTAAAGTAGTAAATAAAATACTGTTTTATGTCTTGTAAGATTTAAAATGTTCTATAAATTTTCAATCAGTTTCAATCTAGATCACGCAATGTTTTATATGAAATACAGCCCCCGCCATGATGGAAACTCTCAACGGTCAAAGAAAAAAATATTACTGAAATGTATACGCCTTAGATCCTCTTAAATAACTAAAGAACGGTATGTCCAAACAGAAGTTAATAAAAAAAATGAATTTTTAGATGTTTAAATGCTTAAGGTGCGTATAGATATAACGGGCTGAGCCTGGGCCAACAACGAGTGATATACCGCGCGTTGGAAAGCAAACGGGTCTACTTCGTCAGATTTGTACGGTCTCGTATATCTAGCACGAGATGGAAAGCAAAACGGGCATACTTCCATCATATTTGGCCCGTTGTTGGAACCACTCGCGTTTTATTTATACGCACCTTTAAATTGATGGCGGACGAGTCATTTAGAAATATTTTATTATCTTTTGTCAGAAAAGTGCCATCCGTTGGTAAATTCTTATTTTATGATCTGCTTATTATACGTATGCGTTATGTTTAAAATATTACCACTCTGCCACAAAAGTTGTCCCACTTTAGTAAACAAAATAAACTCTTTTAGGATTAATTATAATGATTCTCAAGGTAATTTAGCAAATATATTTTAAATGCAAAACGTCGATTAATAAGTTTTAATACATAAATTTCAAGTTGCCTTGAAGAACTCTTTAAGAATATAAAATTAAAACTAAATGATTTTAATATAGTTTTAAAATTTAGTCTTGAATGCCCTTTTAGGATGGACCCTTTTTGGCAAGAAACTGCTTTATGGTGGTCTTGAGGCTGTCTTAAAATACTATATTCTCTCATTAAACCATTCTGAATTGCAATACATAAATAACTAACTCAGAGTAACCGCACAGCTATGATTTTATTTATAGCTACAAAACGCAACTTAAATTTTATCCAAATTAATTTTTTTTAGGATGAAAATTCTGTACAAAGTTTAATAGACGCTTGTATAACAGACGAAGATAAGTTATATTTATGTGTATCGTCCCCAACAATTAAAGATAAACCTGTACAAATACGACCATGGAGATTATCAGACGCAGATTTTGTTTTGGACGCATCCATGCCCTTAGATCCTAGGAAAACGGTATTCGTTGGTGGTGTACCACGACCTCTTAAGGCTGGTAAGTCAAAAACTTTTATACCTAACCACAAAAATTGGTAATGATCTATCTCAAAATATCTACTAGAACCTGGTTCTTGGATAATCTATACCCGATTCACCTCTATTGTCAAAACATGATTTGTTGTGACCAAAAATCAGTTCCATAATATACAATATTCTACCACATGTCCCATGGGTTAAAATAAGATGTTGATTTAAGTTAACTTGCCTTATTGCAAGGTCACTTCATTCTGGCTCTGAAATGATGTATTTTTATTTAAGTTTTAAACTGCTTGTGACTGCTAAACATTTTTATAGTAATAGTACAAGATCTATCAAAGGCCCAGAGGCGGCTCGTGGCCTAGTCTACGAGGAGGCTACGGAGGCCACTTTTGAAAGGCACACCCTATATACTTAATATAAATATATATTTCTATTAGAATATAAAAAGCAGAAATATTACATTGCATTCTAATAGAAAAATATATTTGTATTAGGTATATACATATTCCAAAGGTGCCTCCTCGTAGAATAGGCCACGAGCCTCTTGTAAAGTGGCGACCTGTCACATTTTCTGAAACTTTGGTATGTTGTTGTACTCAACCTAGTAACCAAAAGTGTCAATAGGCCCAATTCAATCCTATGACTAGTTTCCGAGTTAAATTTGAAAATTGCTATGTTTACAGGAATTTTTATTTACAAAACTTACGAGCTAGATTGAATTTCTGTTGCATACACACGTTTACTACATGTTTTAGTAATACATTAGTACATTCATACAATTAAAAATATTTATAATTACAGGGAGATTCACAAATATATGATGGTAGCTTTTTCAAAATCTCACTAATTCTACTGTGACGTCAGGAAGCATATTTTCAAAAATTAATATGGTATTTTGGTGACAAAATATTGCACAGTGCACATTTATTATACAGGGTGTTTTCTAGAAAGAACCACTACATAAAATTACTTTTTTTAAGGTTTAATTCAAAAATTGATTTTTGGAAAAGGTAATATCACTTAAATATGTGTACCACTAAGCTTCAAAATATACAAGGTGATTTATTTGTTGAAAGATATTCTATTTTAAGAAAAGTACAGAAACTGTATATACTCTGTATTCTAAAATTTCCTAGGTCAAATGTAACCATTTTCTACGTATATACTAATTTTAACACCTTTTTAAGAATTAATTTTAAATCAGACCAGTTTTCGAGATACAGGGCGTTAAAGAGGAGAATTGCAGATTTTAGTATTTATTAACAAAACATGTAGTAAACGTGTGTATGCAACTGAAATAAGGAAAGTGAGAAAGTTCTTTTAGTAAAATCGCAAAAGCCGTTTCTCTAATAATTTTTTCAACAAAAAAGAACCAAAAACATTTTTTATATAACTTCAGGTCCATACAGTGTCTAAATTAACCAACCTACCAAGGTTAAGTTTAGTTAAATCGGCTTACCTATTTGGGTCTAAAAATTAAATACAAAATATGGTTTTGTACATTATTGCTGACAAACTTTAAACCTGTTTTTATTGTATTAGTTTTCTTACTCGTTTTTTTTTACTATCTAACTTATTAGCATTTTATGTTTAATTAGTTTACCACGCGCATTTATCAATAATACTTGCAAATCAACAATTTTTATGGAAATAGTTATTCTTGCAAGCCTGTGCAGTTAGTGGTTATTATATTTTGTTTACTTTTTCTAGTTGAATTAGCAATGATTATGGATAGACTATACGGTGGGGTGTGTTATGCGGGTATAGACACGGACCCAGAGTTGAAGTATCCAAAAGGAGCTGGACGAGTAGCTTTTAGTAATCAACAAAGTTATATAGCAGCGATCAGTGCACGTTTTGTACAACTACAACACGGCGATATAGACAAAAGGGTAGAAGTTAAACCTTACGTTCTTGATGACCAAATGTGTGATGAGTGTCAGGGGCAAAGATGTGGAGGGAAGTTCGCACCTTTCTTCTGTGCTAACGTCACTTGTTTGCAGGTTAGTATTTATTTAATCAACAAAAAAATTGCCATCTCATTGTCAGTACATCAGAACAAGAACAAATAATATTAATATAGTCGTTATGATCTGATATAAAATAATAAGCTTCAATAAAATTCACAATATTAGTTCTTCATTCATTTTATTTAAGTACTTGTAAGAATCAGCTGATATTGTAAATATAAATATTATTTTAAAATCCTTTCTTATACTTACTGTCCAGGGGAAGCTAATAATTGTATCAGGGCTATGCTCCTCCAAATCATTTTTATTTATTTAGTTTCTCTAATAAAATCTAATACTCATCATTTTCATTAACAATTTACACTAACACAACATATTGAATTAGCAGACATGATAACAAAATTTTAAAACACTGGGCCATGTCTAAACTATTGTGATAATGTATCTAAATCATAAAATAATTCTTTAGTAATTAAAAAATTACATTTTAGTTTTTTTTTGTTTGTTTGTTTGTTTGTTTGGTAAGAGGAGACTGTATTCCCAATTCAGCTCGGTCTTTGATCTATTGCTCTTTTTTAAAGGAGATTTCCTAGTTTCATTATAAATAATTCTAGACTCTCTGAACTAGGTTGTTCCCTCTTAGACCTTTGTATCAGAATGGCAACTTGCGTTAAATATGATAAAATGGTATTCATACGTAAAATATTGCGTAATATTCAAAATATTTCAATATGTACCAAAAAAAATATATTTTAGCCGAAATTTCACGTTAGAAGTGTATTTTCAAATAAAAAAATATTTATACAAGATGCAATTTTAAAAACAAATACGTTTCAATATAATATGTAAAAATAAAGAAAACTGTTAAACATAAATCTAGGAATATAAGACGGTGCACACAGAAATATTGTGACGTTAACTTTTCACGCTTCCCTCGTAATGCCAGTTACAAATTCTGAATTACAAATTAACGTAGTGCTACATCCGGGCTAGGGATAGATAGGGACAGCTAATGGTGTGGCTGAGTCGGAAGTAGTTTCCTTGCGCCCCTTGTATCGAAAGTGCCAGGAAGGCGGTATAAAGATCATTCACCTGAGCTGCGCTTGGTGCCCTAACCAAGGCAATGTGTGTTCATTGATTTTTTTGGGCTTTAACTGCTTTGATGTAACTGGTTTGTTTCTTTTTTGCGTAACTTATTTTCAATAAATGACTGTCTAATGTAAGGAAGACATGAAATTATACATATAAGCAAGAAATGAAATTATTGTGATTTTTTATTGCACAGGAATTTTGACGTTTTAAATTCTGGTTTTCACATTTTCTTAATGTTTGTTTACCAAACAAAAATACATAATTATGTAATTTTCGAATTATTCGCAGATCTAGTATTTAAATTCTTTAGGTACCTAGGTAATAATTATTAAAGTTTAATACCTATATACTTGTAGAGTGGAAGAAAATGCATAATTTTGTCGAAAATGGGTTGTCAGAAATGTACAAAATTTGGGATGTGTGGGTTTAAACACGTGCCGATTCCTGTTTTGTTATTTGCATAGTTGCAACATAAAATTTAAAAAAATAAATAAAATCTCGAGTGCGTATGACATATCGTAAAACTGGGATTGAAGAGTAGAATCAAATAATGAAACAATGTACAGAAAGCGAATATCAAAAAATAAATCGACATATATCCTTAAAACCCATATCCCCAAATTTTGTACATTTCAGATAACATATTTTCGAGAAAATTAGACGTTTCCAGATTTCTTCTTCTGAAGTTTTCAGTTCGTTCGGCCATTTAATAAATAAAATAATATAAATATGGCAAACAATCATGATTTAGGATATAGGTACATTGACATATAAAATGTTTTTTCATAATTTCTCTTAGAATAAAATAATGTCGTTCAATAATGTTTTTCGATAGACCCAGGAGTACCTAAATTCTCACCTTAATTAAAAGAATTATATACCTATGACCAAGTAATCAAACACCTTTTCTATTTAGTTTACGAGACTTGATTAAACTTACGTGAAGCTTTTTTTATACCTACTATAATAATAATAATAATAATAATAATAATAATAATTATGAATTGGAAATGTGTTACATGTCACTAAAGAAACGTATGTAGAGTCTGATTACAATAAAAAGAACATCGCTACGTCATAACCATTATTTAAAACTTAAAATGTATACTTATTATAATTATCAATTAATAAAAAATTATTAAGTTGTTTGGTTTAAAAAAAGAATTTCGATATTCCTATAATATTAACAAGACGCAACTAAACCCAGTAGGCGTCAATTGCCACGAGGACCCCACCAAGTGATGACGCAGCTGTGTTCTTCTTATTGTAATCGGATACTACTAGCTTAAAAATTTTAATAAGGAGCTCCCAGAAATACATCGACAGTTTCTATGGAAATATATTCAAACCTCTCGACTCTTTACTTTCAAAAGAAGCGCGTTTGAAAAAAAAAATTAACTTGAAAGGAGTATTCGGTAGGGGAAGACGGGGCAAGATGAGCCCCAAGTTACTCCCTTATAAATATGTTATGTGTTGCACTAGCGATTTAAAATTTGAACGAATGGATAGGCTGATGTGTTATTTGTTACTTACATACAGATTAATATTTGTTTTATTTCAGCCTTAACATAGTTGAAAACATTTTGTACGATAGTGTATATTTCCCGTTGGTGGGATAAGATGAAAAACTATGTGGGGCAAGTTGGGATATACATGATTTGAAGTAAAATAATATGATTTTTTTATTGGATTTTAATTATTCGATAATACAATGTGCAAAATATGTTGTACTTTCGCATCTTCGCGTCCTCTTCGCCAGCACAGGAAGTGTGCCCCCAACGCCTGCACTTAATGCATGACATGCTGCCTCGTCTTCCAATTGTTCTTCGTCTTCCTCAAAAGAATCGCTATCTGTGGTTTCCCTTTTCTTCTGTTGATTATTAATATAGATTTTATGACGCCTATGTATAAATTTTTTAAATTCCTATGGACTAACACAAATTGTTAATGAACCAACTCATATAACCCCGCACAGCAAAACTCTCATCGACATTATATTTGTGTCAGATGTCCATCAAACAACATATGTTGAGGTATTAGATGTCAGAGGCCGTGGCTTGTCATATCATCAAGCTGTTCTTTGCAACATAGAGTCAATCACTTTAGAAAAAAAAAGCTAAGTATATAACCTATCGTGACTTTTCACGATTTTATATTAATCTTTTTAATGCTGAATTAGGTTCCGTGAATTGGGACATAATTTACGAATTAAATTACGTTGAAGATATGAATTCCCATCTGAATAATTCCTTAATCCAGCTTTTCTCTGTATATGCTCCTTTAGTAAAAAAAAAGTTACGAAACCGCATACCCCTTGGATTACTTATAATATAAAAGTAATGATTTCGTTAAGAGACAAAGCTTTAAAAAAATATAAAAAAGATAAGACTGCAGTAAATTGGACTAGCTATACCGACCTAAGGAATTTTACTACTGAAGCAATTCGACGAGAAAAAAAGGCTTATTTAAACTTTATTCTTAGAGAAAAGAATTCCAAGACCACTTGGAACACTCTTAGATCCTTAGAAATTCTTAGGAAAAAAGCCAGTCCTATTATACCACCTAACTTAAGTAATGTTACTGAAATTAACAAACATTTTAATTCATCTCCTACTACTCTGAAGTCACATGACCAATTAGCCTTCCTTGATCGGTACTATGAAAATATATATGAAAATAAATTCGAATTTAAATCTGTCTCTTCTGATACAGTTCGAAAATCTCTAAATCGTATAAAAAGTCATGCCGTTGGTTTAGATAACATATCACTGCGCATGATACAGTTAGTAGAAAATTATTTAATCAATCATTTAACATTTATTTTTAATAAAATAATTTCTTCGTCTCATTATCCACTTTCGTGGAAACAGGCTTTTATTATTCCGCTTGCTAAATGTAATCAACCTACTAGCTTATCTGACTTGCGTCCTATTAGTATTTTACCAACCCTGTCTAAATCGTTTGAATTTATACTTAAATATCAAATTAGCAAATATGTATATGACCAAAATATAATAACTCCAGCTCAATCTGGCTTTAGAATGCACCATAGTACGACCACTGCCCTCTTATCTATCACGGATGACCTTTTTAAAGCGACAGACCTGGGAAAAGTTACATGTTTGGTTCTCCTTGATTATAGCAAAGCATTTGATACTTTAGATCATCCAACACTTTGCAAAAAACTGAAATTTTTCGGTTTTTCTCATAAATCCGTTTGTCTTATATCAAATTTTCTTAGCAATCGTACTCATAAAGTTATTTTGGAAGATGATGTATCCAGCAGTCTACCCGTTAGTCAAGGTGTTCCGCAAGGATCCATTCTGGGACCATTGCTGTTTTCACTATATATAGCAGATTTTCATAGTTTTGTTATAAATTGTGTGATCCATCATTATGCAGATGATACCCAGTTATATCACTCGTTTAATAATAAGTGCTTACTTACTGCCCAAAATCTTATTAACGACGATTTAAATGCATTACTTGATATTTCTACAGCTCACAACCTCAAAATAAATTCTAAAAAATCATCCATCATGTTATTGGGCCCCAAAAAACTAAGACAATTAACAATAAACGCATTACAAATTAAATTAGGCGATACTCTTCTTCAATTCACGAATGAAGGAAAAAACCTAGGTCTCTGGTTAGATTCTGATCTTCGTTTTAGTAAACATACCTCCACCATATCTCAAAGTTCGTTCAACGTCTTGAGACAGTTGTACCCTAACCGAGACCTGCTTTCCACACAACTCAAACTTAAACTTTGTGAATCTCTAATTTTTTCCAAACTCAGTTATTGTGATTCTATCTACGGTCCAGCCCTACTCCAATCCGATTCCGCTCGTTTACAAAAAATTCAGAATAGCTGTCTACGTTTCGCCTATGGAATTCGAAAATTTGATCATATCTCGAATAAAATGAAAGAATCAGGTTGG